ATAGCAGGCATGGGCAGACTAAGGCCCGGGGGCCGGATGTGGCCCCCTGGGTGCTTACCTCAGGCCAGGCATGTAGCGGGGGGGGGGGGGGTTCAGCCTCCCCCCCCCCCCAAAATTCTCATGGTGGTCTGCGAGAAGGCCTTACTGGTACATTATTTAAACTGTTATGTTATTCATATCATGATCTGATCACCATGCTCAATATATCCCATATGCATGGGGGTATTGGGGTAACGATACAAAAGGTTTGCTAGGGTAGACCCTCTTTCACTCAGACTCAGCCCCCCCCGAATCAAACTCAGCTCCCCCCCAAAACAAAATCCTGGCTACAGGCCTGCCTCAGGCCCTCCTCATTTTTCCTGTCCTCTTGGCAGAAAGACATGGCTGCTCACCGTGTCCTTATGGCAAAAAGATGAGGGAGGGAGGCACATAACAGCCGAGAGCTGTCCTCTTGGCATTAATGTGAGGGGACAGCTGAGACAGACAAAGGCTGAGAGTGCTCCAGGGGGCTCTCAGCCACCATGTGTCTCGCCCTCCTCCCGGCATTAGGAGTGTGGAAGCGGCCCCATCCTTATGCTGGGAGGATAGCTCAAGGAATGCACATGGTGGCTGAGAGCCCCCTGGAGCACTCTCCGCCACCATCTGTCTCAGCCATCCCCTCCCAGCATAATGCCAAGAGGGCAGCTCGAGGATTGGGGGAGGAGGGTCAGTGCAGTCACCATTTGTCCTGCTTTCCTCCTGACATAAAGATAGGATGAGCGACTCTATCTTTATGCTGGGAGGGCAACCTGAGGATGACCCGGGACCAGCCCTACCCTCTGCTGGCCCTGCCCTCCCCACCCAGTGTGTGCCTAGCCTCCTCCTTCCTGGCCAGGCCCTCCTGGCCAGGCCTGCAATGCGGCCCCAAGGCAAAAAAGTTTGCCCATGCCTGTTCAATAGCATTGAGCCATAGCAGTTAAAGTTGTGTCAAACTGCATTCATTTTAAAGTAGAGATGTACCCTTAGACCAGTGGTTCTCAACCTGTGGGTCCCCAGATGTTTTGGCTTTCAACTCCCAGAAATCCCAACAGCTGGTAAACTGGCTGGGATTTCTGGGAGTTGTAGGCCAAAACACCTGGTTGAGAAACACTGCCTTAGACATAACTTGAATCAGACTTGTATCAATCAATACAGTTTACTATTGCACAGGACGGAGTAGCATACTGGCTATACTGACAGCATGCTGTCATCGTTGTCATCAGCAGGAGCAACAACAGCATCATCATCATATCAAGATGCATTTGAACCGGTTATGGAGGCATGAGGGCATTTTCTGCCCTCAAGAATAATTCTGCTTGCCCCATACTTCAGGCTCCATATTTCTAGTTATTGAAGTACCTTAAAACTTCAGTTGAGCATTTATAAATATAATTGGCTGTCCAAAGAAAAGAATAGGCAAAGTGACAAAAAAAAATACAAACATGATACATTTATGAATCTATTCCACTTAGAACTTATAAATGATTTTAGTGTCTTACCCTCTGCAATGCAAGAAAGGCAGCTTCCAAACATAAAACATTAAATTGGCAAACATTCAGTGCCATCAAATCAGCATTAATACATTTATACTGTACATAAAACAAAATAAAAGACAATGGCATCATGAAACATAGTCAGGCAGTTAAGATATAAAAAATATAGCTTTTCAATAAATTACAATAAAATAGTCATTGTCGGCTTCATCCCCACCAGCCACGCTTTGGACAGGGATGGTACTGAGAGGAGGGCCCCCTCTGATGATTGCAGAGTCTGAACAGGTTTATAAACAAGATGAGGGATGTCAAATTGTCTGGGCCCAAACTGTTTAGGGTGTTATAGGTAATGTAGAAACAAGAATGGGGGGGGGGGGGGGGGGGGGGGGGGGGGGGGGGGGGGGGGGGGGGGGGGGGGGGGGTGTTGTTATGTGTATTTTATAAGACTCTCAAGAAAATAATATAAATAATATGTTTTCTAATGGAGTAAATTGTCTAGACTTTATAGCATATATAGCATTTAACAGTAATGTTATCAGCACATTATAAGTAAATGATCTAAGATCTAAGACCTAAGATCTTCCGGAGAGTCCCTTCTCTCTATCCCTCCAGCTTCAGAAGTGCGGCTGGCGGGAACGAGAGACAGGGCCTTCTCTGTGGTGGCCCCCCGGCTTTGGAACACCCTCCCTATAGAGGTACGATCAGCCTCTTCGCTGATGGTGTTTAGGAAGAGACTCAAAACTTGGCTGTTCAAACAAGCATTCGGCTAATCTGTGGCAATTCGAATATTGATGACTAAGGACAGGAAATATGGACAACGAATTCTGGATTGTGATTTCAACTCGAGATATATGGGATTATTATTGGTGGCCCAATAATTTGTTATTGTATATGTATATGTTTTTAAATTGTAGATTGTTTTAACTGCTGTAAACCGCAATGAGTCGCCGTTCCAGGCTGAGATATTAGCGGTATACAAGTGTATCAAATAAATAAATAAAAATAAATAATAAATAAATAAATGTAGGTTATTTTATCAACATAAAGTAATGGGTAGTAGACTAGAGACAATAAAGTCCATCCTTTCCTGGAGTAGATTTCAGTGCAGGAATTCAACAGTCTCTGTCCTTATCCTCACAAGAATTCTTCTTTTAGCAACACAGTCTTTTAAGGAGTACTTCTTATGCATCCTAATAAGATACTCAACACAGCCATGAGTAAGGCGAACTCCATCAACAGAGGGGAGTTACTACGGGAACGCCCTAGAAAACATAATAACCGCATAATATGGCCTTTGACACTCACACAATATTCATCTAAAATCACTAAAATTATTTCAAAACATTGGCATTTACTACAGGACATTCCTGGATGCAAAGACAAACCTATAATTGCACACAAAAGATCCAGAAATTTAAGGGACCTTTTGATCCATTCTGAATATAACTCTCCTACTACATCCCACAATCTTACCACTAGGGGTCACACTAGCTGTGGACACTGTAACTGTTGTCAACAATCACTCAAGATTAAAATATACTCTCATCCAACACTTAACATCAAGATTACCTTGCAACATTTAACAACATGTTCCACTGATAATGTAATTTACCTATTAGAATGCTCCTGCAAGCTTTTATATGTTGGAATGACTACTAGACCCCTTAAAACCAGGATAAATGAACATCGTTCACGCATAAGGAATGGGTCCACTGACTCTTCACTATATGTACATTTCAATGAAAAAGCTCATACACACCATAGCTTTAAATTTTGCGCTTTAGAAAAAATATTACCCAGACCTAATGCAGATGTAAAAAAACTCCTTCTACAAAGAGAATCTTTTTGGATCTTTAAACTACAAACATTGGTTCCACAAGGACTAAATGATAAAATTGAATACACTTGTTTCTTGTGAAATGTAATTCTACTTAAGAGGTAGCCTAGGGATGACTCATTGCTCGTTATAGAACTCCTCCAGAACAGAGCCTATACTATTGAAGAGAGTGTAAAGAGAGTGTAAGTAGAGTAGCGTGTTTCTTTACTGTTATTATAGAATGTTTCACTAGAAATGTGAATTGGGGAGTTTCATGTATCTATTGTGTATGTTATTTTTACTCCTTTATTTAGTGCATTGTATATATGTGATAACATCCTGAAGAAGATAATTTTTCGAAACAAGGAGAACACACCGGGAGACCTTGTAGAAATTGTGTTACCTAAGGAAGACTCTGCTGCATAAGAAGTACTCCTTAAAAGACTGTGTTGCTAAAAGAAGAATTCTTGTGAGGATAAGGACAGAGACTGTTGAATTCCTGCACTGAAATCTACTCCAGGAAAGGGACTTTATTGTCTCTAGTCTACTACCCATTACTTTATGTTGATAAGATAACCTACATTTACTTATAATGTGCTGATAACATTACTGTTAAATGCTATATATGCTATAAAGTCTAGACAATTTACTCCATTAGAAAACATATTATTTATATTATTTTCTTGAGAGTCTTATAAAATACACATACATACATTCTTGTTTCTATGTTACTATAGATATTTGTGCATTGTTTGCTTCTGTTATAGGTAATGACCAGCACTTTGTATTTAGCATGGAAGCAGACCGGCAGCCAGTGGAGCTGCTGTAACATAGCAGTTGTTTGCTCCCTGTACAGCACTTCAGTTAGTAACCTGGCTGCCGATATCTGGGCCAGTTGAAGCTTCCAAACTATCTTCAAAGGCTGCCCCACATAGAAAGTACTGCAGTTATCCAAACTGGATGTGACTAAAGTGTGTACAACTATGGCCAGATCTGGTGTCTCAAGGTAGATTTTTTTTGTGTCAGGAGCAACTTGAGAAACTGCAAGTCGCTTCTGGTGTGAGAGAATTGGCCATCTACAAGGATGTTGCCCAGGGGATGCCCAGATGTTTTGATGTTTTACTATCCTTGTGGGAGGCTTTTCTCATGTGCCCACATGGAGAGCCAGAGCTGACAGAGGGAGCTCATCCGTGCTATCCCCGGATTTGAACCTCCAACCTGTAGGTCTTCAGTCCTGCTGGCACAAGGGTTTAACCCATTGCACCACCACTGGCTCCTTCAAGGTACAATGAGAAGATTGACCTCATTTTGCCCTCTTCCTTGTAGTCACCATCATTACGATAAACCCCTATGAGGTCAGGAGTCCCAACTTTATTAAGGGGGCCAGTCATTTGTGAGGAAGTTACATCCTTGGTGCAGGTGTATGCTGCTGATTTATGTTAAATCAGAATTAGTTGCCCTGCTACTATTTTCAAGGATGGTAAAGCAGGATCAGGAAGCATCTCATTTCTTCTCTTCTTCCTTTTCTCCTTCATTAACATTTCTGCCTGTAGCAGGAAAAAAATGCAATTCAATTGAATAAAGTGTGCAATATTTACATCTGTCAGGCCAACCCCCTCAGTCCTTGCTCCACCTTACACATTATGAAGATGACACCTTTTTATAAAGCACCAGAAGCAACATCTGTAGCCAGCAGTCACTGTGAGTCGTTATTACTTTCCAGTGCCATCTCCAAGAGGCGAAAATGCAGAGAGCACCGGGGTGCCAGGTTTCTGTAAGTTTGAACTTGCCCTTTCAAAAAAAAGTCATGGAAATGCAAGCGCACCTATACATAAATACAAAGGTGTGCTTTAATTTGATGCTAGGCAGATTTTATACTCAGTATTTGGCACTGAGTATGCGGGGAAAGGCATTGTGGTTTGTAGAAAAATTAAACTCCAAAATACATCATGCTATAGTTTTGCGTGAAAGTAGTCATCAGTTTAGAATGGGAGGAATTTTGAAATGTTATTTGTATTTGTCTCTATTGTGTTACAGTCTTCGAATCCTAGTTTTGAAGTCATTAAGGTTTTATTTAGTGGAATGTTCTGAATGGGGTCTCTTTCCAGTATGGGTCATTTTCCTATGTGTTTGCCTGGAACTCCATTTCATCCCATTTGAGTATCAATTTGTTTTTGGGTTTTTTTTTTTAGTTTGAGACATATTTCCCTGCCTACACCTGATTTTTGTTAACATATAGATTTATAAATGCAGTTTATCCCAATTGCATCTTGTCAGATGTATTTAATTCAATGTGTGATTCCAAAATGACACTGAAAAATTTGGAGAGGTATAAAATCCAAAGGGTACTTTATTTCCCTATTTGTCTATTAGTTCACAAGCTGTGGATCAGGTTTGTTTGCTTCAAAATGCAGAATGATTAAAATTCTTGAGCCTCATCAGGTCTGAGCAGTGTTTTCTTCGGCGATCATTCATGAGATGCTTATTTTGAAATATCATTGTGCAGACTCTATGGAAGCACCTATGATTAATTCATTTTATGGATACCTTCCTCTCCATGTGTAGCTTTACTTTATGCATCTTCAGCCCCTTTCCCATGGCACTAGGCCATGTGCATGAATGAAATCAGTTTCACATCTGTATTCTGTTAGGATTGTATGCAATGCAGTTGTGCGTTTGTGTGTGTGTGTGTATAGAGAGAGAGAGCATAATTGTAAATGTGATGTAAAGAAATAACAAAAATTCATTGATGAATTAGAAGCCACAAACTAGGGCCCCTTCCACTCAGCTGAATATAATCCCACATTATCTGTTTGATTTGGAATATATAGCAGTGTGGACTCAGATAACCCAGTTCAAAGCAGATACTGTGGGATTTTCTGCCTTGATATTCTGAGTTATATTGCTGTGTGAAAGGGCCCTGGGATATATGGCAGTGTGGACTCATAATCCAGTTGAAAGCAGATATTATGGATTATCTGCCTTGATATTCTGAGTTATATGGATGTGTGGAAGGGCCCTAGGAGAACTTAACAATTTAAGATGCATCAGATACTTAGTTCTTGAAGGGGAGGTGGATACTTATTAAAAGAATCTGTACTGACATACAAAAGTGCCACATAGGGTAGAAGGAATCTGGTTTGACTAAACCCTTGGGATAGGCACATTTGCTATGCTAATTTTTCTAATAAAACAGGTTGCTAAGCACACTGGTACTAGGACTGCATACAGCCTGATTTTAGAAAATCAGCAGGTGGGATGTCTCCAAAGCAGAAGTCATAAGTAGAGAGATAATGAGACCTTTATGTAGGAGATCTGACTTTTTATCATCTGCTATACTCAGAAATTTAAACCAAAGGTTTCTGGTATTTTTCTTTTTAAGATAGTTTTGGATAAGCCTGGTGCCTCAAACTGGGCAACTAGTTTGTGAATTCATCAGATATAATGAAAGAAGAATAGGCAACTACTCACTCTCTGAGGCCACGCTCACTTGACTACTGTGTTCCATCTTATTTTTAGAAAAATTAAAAATGTGGTAAATTCCAGAAATTCCCCATGACTCTCTAAGGGATGTAGTTAATGGTTGGAGAACAATTTGGCTGTGGAAATGGGTCTCCTGGAATTCATAGTACTATTAAGCAAATAAATTACTTTGGTTTTCAACTTCTGCTTTACTTTCTGGTTTTAAAAAACAGCTGATCTGGGTTTAAAATCAGCCCTGCCCCCACCTCAAAACACACCAAAATTAGCCTCATATTCCCCAAGGCATAAATGCTGCCCAATCTTGCACCCTCCCGCTGCATTGGACTACAGTTCCCATACCCGCAATTGGCATATGATTGGTCATGGTGGCTAAAGATGATGGTAGTTGTAGTCCAACATATCAGAGAGTGCCAAGCTTAGAAGGTTTATAATACAGATGGCCTTTTATTGTAAACATTAGAGTATCCACACCCCAGTTGTCCATATCTACATCAAAGACTCAGTGTTTTGTAGGTACAATACAACCCTCTTATCTGCAGACTCAGAATCCATGGTTTCACTTACCCATGCACCTAAATATTCCCTTCCAGAAATGGACCTCTCTAGATCCTCCAGTGCTATTCTATGGTATGCTTCTGGCTCAAGTACAGTCAAAATATAGGGTTGGTTATTACCCGCTATTTCAGGTACCAAAAGGGGGTGAGGGATGCCTTATGACTTCCAGGATCGTACTATATAATGATATTTGAGTGGCAACAAGTACCAGTTTGGTCGACCAGTTTCATTCCCCACCTCTCATTTTAGTTAATATAGATTTAAGTTGGGATGGACAACTTCAGTTGGCTCACATGCTAATTTTGTTCCTGGGGGGACTACTGTGGAGCACATGACATTCTCATATTGAACAAAGAAATAACTGGATATTTAATAGGAATTTCCATGTTCAGAAACCATGTATCTTTGAACACTACAGAATGGGTGCATGTAATGGGGAAATATGCAGCGATCTCTATTTGTCCTGCTTTCAGGCTTCTTCGAAGTGTCTGATGACAACTCAGGAAAGAAGTTGAACATGAGCTGATTCATCAGGAAAGTTTGCTGTAGGGATGAGCAAAAGTAGGAGCAATGCAGTAGCCCTTGGTGCTTCTACACTGAACAATGAGAAAAGCTGATCTTCTTTCCCTAGAATCTTCCCAGATGAGCAGTATTATGAAAAAATCAAAATGCAAGGAATGCTACCTCAGAACATAGGACAAAAGTAAATAATAAATGGAGTTTGTAATACTCTAATCCAGTGGGTCTCAAAGTGTGCTCCGCGGAGCCCTTGGGGCTTCGCAAAGCATCCTGAGGGATCCATACTTTCCTCCTCTTCATCTTCCCTTCTCCCCTCCCCACCTCCCTCATCCCCAAAAGCCTTTTCCCCCTTGCCAACAGGAGGCCCCTGATGTTGCTCTTATTATTATTATTATTATTATTATTATTATTATTATTATTAAGACTAGATGGCCATCTGTTGGAGGTGCTTTGATTGTGTTTTTTCTGCATGGCAGAAGGGTTTGGACTGGATGGCCCCTAGGGTCTTTGACTGAAATGCTGTTATGTTTATATTGGTTAAAATTGTTCTTCATTGAAAATATTGTGTTTTTTCCATCTTTCCTTTTTTTTATCTTTACACTACTAACGAGACATGTGCAGTGCACATAGGAATTTGTTCATGTTTTTTTCACACAAACACTCTCCATCCATCTACCACTGGCCTGGCCCATCTGTCAAATTATAAAACACAATGTGTCACAAAGTTTGGATTGTTATAGGGGTTTTGGGCCATATGGTCATGTTCTAGAAGCATTCTCTTCTGATGTTTCACCTGCATCTATGGCAAACATCCTCAGAGGTTGTGAGGTCAGACCTCACAACCTCTGAGGATGCTTGCCATAGATGCAGATGAAATATCAGGAGGGAATGCTTCTAGAACATGGCCATATAGCCCAAAAAACCTATAACAACCCAGTGATTCCAGCCATGAAAGCATTCAACAATATATTGTTACAAAGTTCGCCCATGCCTGATACACATACACATATACATATACATATATGTATGTGTGTATGTATACGCACACACACACACACACACACACACTTCTTGGGCCTCCATGAGAAACATTTGCTTCAAAAAGAACTCCACGACAGAAAAAGTTTGAGAACCCCCACTCTAATCTATTGCTGCTGCTGCTTCTGATGATGATGAAGCAAGGAAGCCCAAATTGTAGGCACAACAGATTAGCTGCTGTAAGCATCTATTCTCAAATTGCTGGCAAACCTGTAACAGTCTATGAATTACTAGCAATGAATCTGTGACAAGAATATGTGATACTCTTTTCTGGTTCATGTGTCTGATGTTATGTTCCTTCTCTTCTGTATTTGTTTGGTGGAGTCAGTGGCCCCAACCACTTGCAGAATAACTTCCAGAACGTAAAACTGGAAGCAACTTCCAGTTTTATTTTAAATGTTTTAGTGTGGTTTTCCAATAGAGTGAATCCCATAGAAAGACTTGGAAGCAAAAACAAGTCGCCCAAACTTACCTAGTTGCCCATCTCTCTTCTATTGCAATCATATTCTATTCCGTTCTCCAGTGGAAGTTTAAGAAAACAACGTCATTTATTTTCTGTCAGCTGCAGAACTGTGTTGAATAACTTGGTCTTAGGTTATTTAGGGCCGCCATATCTCCTCTTATTATGATTATCAGGTGATAGCAAAATTATAATTGGAATAAGGATACAAATTTACGTACCCAGAAATGTCTCAATAAGATCTCAAGTGGAAAATTGAAACAAATAATTCAAATCATACTGCCAATTGAAGCAGGGAAAAAATTATACATTCTTCTCCAACTATAAAGAGAGCAAAAAGTATCCGGCTTGTTTTTTTCTTGAAAGGTTTTCCCATTCAGGATTATTTTTTCAATATCTCTGCGGCTGGATCTTCTATCACTCTTATGGATTACTTCAAGAGCTCAAAGGCTGGAAAGCTTTTGTGGTGTCAACAATCATCTTTCATATAAATGCTATAAAGTGGAATTGGGAAGGTATTGACATGTTGTTTTCAAATGAAGTAAGGAAACATTAAGAAGAGATTTTGATATAAGTGAAACAACCCCAAATATGAATTAAAAATATGTGAGTAAGTATGACCTAATGGTTTGAATGTCAGAGTCCTGGATATCAGAGTTCGAATCCCAGTAAGACATGGAAACCCATTGGGAAATTTTGAGCAAGGCACACTCTCTTAG